GCGCGCCGCCATCTTCCCCCGCTGCCGCTGACGTCAGGCGGAGGGCGGGGCCGCACCTGCCGCCACCGCCCCGGCTGCGGGGGCGCCATGGCAACCGCGCCGCGCGCGAGGCCCGGCCCGGTCGGGAGCCCGCCAGCCCCGGCCCTGAGGTACGGCCCGGGCCTGCTCTCCTTCGGTACCGGCTCGGAACCCCAGATGTTCAGTACCTCACGCCGGCCTCTCTGGAGAAGGGAAGGGAGTTGAAGCATCAGGTCAGCGACACGTTAAATCTACTCTTTCTGGTGCCGTTTTCCTTGTTTCCCACTGGAAGGGCGAACAGCGTACTCAGCTCCTCTGATCCACTTTCTGACGCTGGCAGAAGGACCACGGGGGGCCCAGGAAGCCCTCAAGCTCTTCCTTCTGAAGCAAATAACGCTGTGGAAGAAATCGGGACTCAAACCCAAGCTCACTCTCAGCGAGTCCTCCAGCTACTGCTGAAAATCCCGCGTTATAGTGGCAGCAAAAGCCACCCAAGCAAAGGGAGAGCTCCTGAGGGGACAATGTGGGAAATAGACGAGATGGGAGGCAGGAGAACAAGACAGACCTTCGATACCACAGGCAGAAAAGGGAAAAAGACGACAGGAGTTGTTCCACCATGAGTGTGTAGCTCTGTGCATATCTGAGAGGCGGCGGAGAGAGGAGACTGGATCTCACCACTCAGTCACAAAAACCAGAAGTCCTACGACAATGAATAAAATTAAGCTATTTCTACAAACTCTCATTGAACAAGTCGGGGTAGGAGCACCCACCTTACCAGGCAAACCAGCTCTCCCTGACAGCTGTGGGAAAGAATAACCAGTATGCACCAGAAACCAGTTACCTGAGAGAGGATTCTCACCTTTCCCAATAGAAGGATTGTTCAACTGCTTTCAAAAACACTCAGATACTTTGAGGAATAATTTTTGCAGGTGTTGCTCACAACAAAAATCTATGGCTTAGCTAAGAAAGCAGAGTAACAGCAGCAAAGAAAACAGCTGAGTAGAAAAGACAGGCAAGAGATTATGTTGGCTACCTCAAAAGCACACCTACTGCAGAACACAGACTGCATCTCTGGTTATAATTCACTGCTTGGTTAAAGATTTTCAAAATAAAAGTTAGCTTACCGTTGTGGAAATACAAATTGCATGTAGACTTAATGAAAGATCAAAATGGTCTGTGATTCTTATTAGGAAATGAAGTTATTTCCATGAACATGAAAAACCACTGCAGCCAATTAATTGTTGTACAATTAAAGGAAAAGCCCAGAGAAAATTAAAACCAGTTGTCTGCCATGTACCTGTAAGTACACTGACACCTTCTACAAAGAGCCTGCACTTGCAGGGTGAAAGGTAGCAACAACTCCATATAATACAAAAGCCATTTGCTGATACAGTATTTCTGTGATTCAGGAATCCTGAATACTTGGTGAGGATCACAGCTACAAGGCAGAACACAAGTGCAGAGACCAACATGACAAATAAAAAGTTATGATGCTGGAGGAAAAAATAAAATCACAGAAGACAAAATATAACACTTTATTAAAAATTAGTGTTCCATTTCCATTTAATGCACTGATAAAAGAGAAAACACTTTAATCAACAGCTAATATGATTACTGCATTAACTAATTATTTTATCCATAAGGCTGACCCTTAAAAGTTAGACATAAAAATAAAACAAAGCCTGATGCTACAAGAAAACAGCTTGGTCACAGAATGTCAGTTTAAACAAGATAAGCAATCATACTTGCTATCCTCTGGATACAAAATATTATAGAAATCCAAAGTCCTTTACTATTATTAAACAAATTAAGCTTCAACATCCCTCTGAGGTAGGGGAGGGTCTTACCACCATTTTATTACAGAAGAGGAAAAATTATGCAAATACAAAAAAACCTGACTTGCTGTATGTCACTGAGTTAGTGGCAAAGTTGGAAACAGCACTCATGCCCACTCATCTCTTCATAAAACCTCGGTTATCCTAACAGAACGGATGGTGTGAAATTGGGCTGTAAAGATTTAATGCCAAGGATTGTCAGAGGATATAACCTAATTATGTGAAGACAAGGACTGCTGGGCCAGACTCATTGGGTTATGTTATACTTTATCAGTATTTCCAAGAGTGAATTGTGTACGAAAATTAAAAAAAACCTCAAGAACAATAAAAATCTAATCAAAACTACAATAAGCATTGCCTGTTCCAAGCAGAATCAGCTTTTCAGTAACCCCATAGTATCAGTCCCTCCAACGTGCTCTCAGTCTCAGTCATTTTTTATTTTAACCAAGAAGTGCAAGAGAGAAAAAGTCATTGGAATGGAACATTACGATAGGATAAATGTCTCCTGTTCCAAAAACTAAATGTCAAGGTGCAGGTTAAACATTTGGTTTTGTCTCGGCATTTATCACGCAGCTGGAGGCTGCTACCCTGCAGAGCTCTCTCTTTTGACATTATTGCCTAATTAACACTGATACTGAAAAGCTGTTTAACATAAGACACTCACTCAAGGCACCAAGTCTCCTTCTCTGTAGAAAGACTGAGGCTGTTTTGCAAGACGTGAGGCCCCCACCATGGAAACGTGCAACCCTTTATTACAGAACTTGTATAGAGATGACAGTTAATCTTTTCCATTCATTCTCAGCCTGCTAATATAATACTTGAATGCACAAAAGTTCATGTAAATTTAGGAGTAGAAAGGACAGTAAGGTTTCCAAAAGAGCTGCAGCAGCTAATGAACACTAGCTGATACAGTTAGAATTTATACACTACAAATGAGGCAAAAAGGCATTTCTTCCTCCTAAAGGCTACTATAAATTCCCAGGCACATCAGCAAACACATCCATTGGTGATGGTCTATGTAGGAAGTCATTGCAGGTATTTTAAATTGCAGACAAATGCATATAATTAGAAATCTATATTGTCTTAATAGGGATCATAATTTGTGATATTTCAAGGCAGCAGAGAAGAGCCTTAGGAAGCACAGCCGTTTGCTCTCTCTGGAAGTGGACAGCCCACTACAAATAAGGGAATGCTGCAGTTCAAAACTGCGTTATGCTTTTCAGTGCTGCTTTTTCTCCATTATAGCAGGTTGTAGCAATATGTTCTAAAATTCTAGAATGTTCTTGTCAAAACAATTGATAGCCTTTAATTAAGTAAAGGACGATTAAGATGAGAATGCGAAGCATGTGTTACATCAAAACTACAGTATTCAAAATTATCAGAACCTGGTAGTACTGAGACTGTATAAATCAACATGCCATGATTTTGGTGGAAAGGACATTGAATTAACATCCTGTGTTGGAGCAGTTCCAGATAAACAGGACTCTTAAGAGTAAATGTAGTGTTCTGTCACTTGTAGTAGAAAAACGTTCAACCCATGAACCGTGCAAGTGATGGCTGCATCTACATTTACATTTAGACTGACTGAAACTTCATATGAATTATCCAATTAGGTGAGCATTCGAGTAAGAAATAACTCTGGGCTTTCTGGATTTTATCAGAAATCTAGCAGCCCTACCTAAGGAAGGGATCTCTAATATGACAATCGTTTTAGCCTTGTGCATGTCCGAGTAGCACACGTCCCAGAACACACCTACACAGAGATTTCCTGACGTTCTCCCATTCCCATCTGTCCACCAGTGGAGGGAACTATAGAACTGGGAGTCAAACCCAACCACGGGTATTGAACTGGGACCTCTCAGCCACATCCTGAAAACTTTACCAAGACAAAGAACATCAAGATCATGGTTTTGAAACATCTTTTGAATAGAGAAAACTTTAGTGTCTATGCAATTAGATTTTTACTCTGAGTAAAGCTTACAGACTGACAGAGTATCTGTCCACCGTGGGCAAGCATCATTTAACATAATTCCAAACACCATTCCAGTTCTAGTTGTACCTTAATCTAAAAGCAGATGTTTTGTGATCAGTACTAACTGGGGGTAGAGAAGGGAGAATGAACGGGGCTGAAAGAAGGTGAAATGAAAAGGATATCCATACACATTTAAAAACATTCATAACTGCTTACAGTTCTTCCTGATATTCCACATTCCACAAATACCAAGTAGTTATTTTACACTTTTTAAGAGTCTCACAACCCAGATGGTTCTCAAAACAGTTTGCTTCCAAGATTAATTTAATCTAAATTCAAATCAGAAATTAATACTACTTGTTGGCTATGGGAAAAAGGGAAAAGGAAACCAACTAAACCAAACACAAGCTCTTCTCTGCTTCTTACAGCATCATAGTGAATCCTGGGGGTACAGAATCTAACCATGGAATATCAGATCACAGATCTGACCCTCATCCTCTTTCACATACTCCTTCCCATGCCCATAGTCCCCAAAGAAAAGAAATGTGAAGATGACATTTTTCTGCTTGTAACTAATTTTTGCAAGGCTACCAGCATCACTTACTATCATAATGAATGTTAACAGTTTAAGTAACAAGAAAAAAACAATATACATCATTTGTTAAGAAACCAAAGTGCCAGGTATGAATTTTAAATGGCAGTCTTATTTGCTGTAAGATGAAAAAAGTCCAAGAGAATGAATCAAAGCTATTAAGTGCAGCACAAAGCCTCTATCACTGCAGGCTCTGCTGGTAGCTTCAAAGCACCCACTACAGTGTCATTTAAATGGTATCAGTGGAGGGAAAAAAAAATATTAAAAAAAAATCCACATCACACTCTAGTAGAATTAAAGAAAAAAACCCCACAAAAGTCTTTGTCAAAACTAATCTCAGCAGCTGTATTTTCACTGGCACAATAGAACAACCAGCTGGAAAACAACAACTTACAGAAAGCAATACAAAAAGAAAAGAGGTTATTAGACTTTTAAAGAGGCCTTTCACAAAAAGGCAGGTGCATTACTGTGGCAACACTACTTCCTGAATGTGAGGAGAATTCAGTGAGCGCCTGCCACATGTGAAGGTCTGGCAAGGCAATCAAATCCTCAAAGTTTGAAGCCATTAGTGTTTTCTTACCAAGCCTCAACAACGTCATTTTCAAAAGCCTAATTGGCAAGTGGAAATAATTTTTTTTGTTCCCTCCCTCCTCTGCTTCTATTACTACCAAACCATCTACCATCTTAATTCTACTTCGGACTTCACTGTATTAATTTGGGATGATTTTCTTGTCAGGCTTTTGCAGTAATTTGCTTTAAAACTTATAGGTAGACTTGGAACTGGTGAAAGCAGTTCAAGACTCACCATGGTGGAATATGAAGCTTCCACATTCACGTGCAATATGGGAACATAAAAGCAGTTGTGGAGCATGTTCTACCACTGTCACATACCCATAGCTGCCAATCAACAGCCATCAAGTAATAACCATGTAGGAGTGGTAAAGTTTGAACCTGTAACTTACAGCTGAAACATACAAGCACATTTAAAAATACAGTAACAACTTTTTCATACTAAACTTGAACCTTTTTCCAGACACCCAATTTGCAGAGCAGCCTTGACTCTAACCTTCTGAAAGGCCCTTTACAACCAGGACCCAGCCAAGCACTCAGAACAAGAGTGATTATTTCAGTTTAAAATTTAGGATAAGCTATATTTCTCCTGTGTCCAAAGCCTCTTGCAGTTTCACGTTAGAACAAGGTTTTTATGACTGTTATCTCTTTCCACTTCTATGCTCTAGAAGGGATTCAGAACATGAAACTCAAACTCACCGTTCAGTATGTGAACATTATCTAGCACTGAGTTTGTACTTCCCTGGTCACTGCAGTTTTTCCTCTGCTGCTTGAGAAATTTAACATCAAATAGCACTTTTGGGCCAAAGGAGGAAATGAATGTAAAACTAGTTCCCCAGGTTGCTGTTGTTCATATGAACAGGATGGCACTGTCACAAGCCTAACGAATGGCAACCCTGCCACAATCTGCCTCTGAAGTTTTCTTACTTGAGGAAGTTTCTTCCTTCACCACAGCCATTTCTCCATCTCCCAAGACAAGTCATTACATATAAATATATATTTTCAAACTTTTCTCATTTCTTCAAGGGGAGATTTTTTGATGACTTGACTCTTACCTCCGCAGAAGAGCTTGCCTTAGAATTACTGAGTTTTAAAGACAGGTCTCTCAGAACACAAACTTTTGCATGTGTACTGGGGGAAAGAGGTGGGAGAAACCACATGTGCAGTGCATCTGCCTATTGGATAGCTACCCATTTCTTCTGGGGGTTATCAGCTGTAGTGTTTGCTAAAAGGGGCCATGTTCAAGTTCTCTCCACCCCCTCTTCTGTATTTTGATTTAAAAACTGGAAGTTCCATTATACAAAACCCTAAAAGGGCAGGTATCTGCAAAAAGATTTTCAAATCACACCATCTCATTCAGGAAGAGCAGTACTTCTCACGGGAAGTAAGAGAGCTGGCGAGTCACGAGATACGCAAGAGCCACCACAAACTGCCAGAATGGGTGCTCCCAATTCTTCTCCTCACATGGCATGAAAAGGGGCCAGTCTGTATTTAAAGCACACGGTGCAAAATTAACATTTTGCAAAATTAGTTCTCAAAGCCCTTGGCTTTTAGCGTTGCTTTGTGCGCACAAATGCCCGTTTGCTTCTCTAGGGAGCTGAGAAGCCAAATGAAGATCAATCCAGAGTCCAACTGATCCCTCCCTGCTCCATCTCCCTCCAAGAATATCCACACAAGCCTCGACACCGAACCCTTCTCCTGGACCGATGTGCTAGTGGCCGAGCTGACGGTCATCGTAGGTGCTGTATCTCTTCACGTGGATGCGACGCACTCTGTCTCGGAGTTCAAAACCCTCATCATCCTCACTGTGAGATGCCTGGCTCCGGCTCCTGCTTGTGGCTTCCAGCAGGGAGTTGTCAGGAACCCGTGGGGTTTCATATAGTAAGACATTTAGCGTTTCCTCATAAATTCGTGCCTCGGGGAATTCAACCTACAAAAAACAGCACATGTCTTTTTCCTGATTTATACAACATGACTGGAACACATGCCCATAAGTAAAAAGATACCTGAGCCATAAAAAGACACACTATAGAGAGCAAAACAACTGTAAATGAGAAGGATTAGCAAAACAGCCTAATTCCTAGTAGAGCATTCCTCCCACCAGCTCGCCTACCTCACCTCCTCTTTTAGATTGTTCTAGAATGGAATACAGTATTTCTGACTCTTTGGTGCTAATGTTGGACTCTGGTCACCTTAGCTGTACCACTGCAAGTCAAAAGGTAACTCCTCAAGTTAGGGAAACTCTGTAGATTTATCATGTTAATCATTATTTTTTTCATGCATGTAACCTATCTCTTTAGGACATACTGTGCTTGAAAGCAAGTCTTTAGGTAAGCTTTGCAAAATCAGAGGCAGGAAGACCATGAGAAGAATCACTGGAAATGTGGGGAAATCCAGATAGGCTAATTACTTCTTTTTTGACAGATATTCTGTAGTTTTGCACATAAAAGCAAAATAATAAAAATATCTTGTTTCTAAAGAGTGTTTATGCTGAAGTTTCCATTTCACTAATTTCATCCCATCCATTTCAGTTACTCGGGTTGGGGCAGATCAGTTTCAGTCTTCTCCTTTTTGGCATGTATTTTCCAACACACTGGAGAAATTTATACTCCCAGACACAACCATTTAGTCCAATTAAATACAATGATTACATCAGTGCAAGTGAAACACAGTACAAAGTAACTGCAATGAAGTGAACTTATGTAGGTATAATAAGGAGCAGAATTAGATCTTTACTTCATTCAATTAGAAGAATTTAAAGGCATTTACATGCTTTAGGGACACAAAGTCAGCTTCAAGAGACTACTGCTAAAATGCTTTCAGAATTACCATTCCCAGTCTTTCCCTCTTTAAACCTGCTACCATTATTGAGTCTCCTCTGAATTCTGTCTAGAATGCAGGATCTTTTACCAAGACACCAGCTCATCCTGCAGCTCCCGAAGCAGCAAGCCACTGTACTCATTTTGATGCCACTGACCATCAATTCCAGTCAATACTCAGGAGAGCTGGTATCAAAGCTTTTCCAATAAGTGATAATGCTTGTCCCTAGCAATTTAGCTTAAGTTATACAAAATCTGTACCTTTCTGCAATGTATCTTATGATTATTTTTTTTAAACCATAAGAGACAGGTGGGTAGAACTCCATTACCTTGGTTTGCTTCTTCTCTGTTGCGTACACTATGGAGGTACAACAGACTTCAGCAAGTTTCCTCCCCTGTCCATAGAAAGACCAGCAGCAGATTTCATCCCCTATAACATCCTTAATGAAAAGGACTCTGCCGTTGAAGCGGAGAGAGAGTTTGTCGAACAGTTCTATGTTCTTCAGCAAGTTGTCATCTGAGTTACTGAAATACAGCAAGAAAAGAAGGGATACGTTTTTTGTGGTTTTCCAACTCTTCATCTCTACAGAATTTATATGCCTATTCCACTACAGTTTTAAGCATCGATCTAACTGCAGAATACAAATAAGTAGTGACTCATTGCCATGTGCTGCCAAGAAGAGAGGGTAATAGCCAATTCAGATACAAATAGGATGCTCTGATCCCCATGAGCAAACACACCAGCCTTTAGAGGTCAAGTTATATAATTAATAACGACAGCGCAATTTCCCAAATCATTACATCAACTATCTACAACTATCTCTCGACTGATGCTCAAGACGATTAAATCACATCCTAACTGCAGTTCTCTTCAGCTCAGGAACAGCCAAAATCTAAAGAGTCAATGCATGTTAGAAGGCCAGTTAAAAGCAAGGTGTTTTCCATGTACAGTAGTGATACCACACACAAATTTCTAGGGCGAGTACACTATTTCAGAAACTAAGTTTTATTGGCTAACAACCAGAATATAGGATCTTAATAACTTTTCCAAGCAAGATCTAAATGTCCTAGAGAAAAAAAAAATACACATTGTATTATAACTTTACAATCAATAGAGCTATCAGAAAGCTATTACTTAAAAATATTTTAGTTAAGAACATCATGACCAATCAATGTCCTATTTGATTAAGTAAAAAAAAAAAAAAAAAAAAAATAATTAAAGCTGGTTATCTGACAAAATGCACTCGTAGAAAAAAAAACTGTAAACATTAAATTTGGGTAA